TAGATTAGACATCTGCAAGAACTACTTCACAGTTAGGGCGGCTAGGATCTGGAACCAACTTCCAAGGGAAGTGGTGCTGGCTCCTACCCCAGGGGTCTTTAAGAGGAGGCTTGATGCCTACCTAGCTGGGATCATTTGAGCCCAGTTTTTTTCTCCTGCCCAGGCAGGGGGTCGGACTTGAAGATCTATAAGGTCCCTTCTGACCCTACTTCTATGATTCTATGATACAGCTCTTTGGAACAAAGGCTGTCTTTGTTCTATATTTGGATAGCACCTAGCATAATAGGATCTTGGTCCATAGTTTTTCCCCCTCAATGCAGTGGTTCTCATGCTCCCCAGTTCTCCACTTTACCCTTAGTGTTATTGTTTTTCCGCATTTATATAAAACATAGTCTACAGGAGATATAGATTATGCTAATTCATGTGCTCCATGCACATTTTGTTGAATTAAGCCATATCCAAATGCAGTTATACACTGTATCAAGAAACACTGTTAAAAGAACTTTTTTTAGGGAGTTGATGAAGGTTTTTCACAGAACTTGAGCTGATGAAACCAGTCTTAAAATCATCCCTACTGCTAATTTACTAAATATCCTGGTACACCCAAAGCGGTGCGTAGAAATACCCTCTCAGAAACATCTCAAGGTTGTCCCTGAGAAGAGGGGGTGGGAGATTGCTCACCTGGGTTACAAATTTAACCAAGCCCATCTGGCAACAACGCTATATGTCATCTGTTAAGATGCTTCAGCTACTGTAATTTTAAAGTATGTACAATAATCAGAGGCTTCTTTCCCAGGGAAAATCCTTCCACTCTTTGAAAAGGACATATTCCAACATCAAAATTTACACAAGGACGCTTCAATCCACCACCAAAGAAAATACAACACTGACAAGAACAAATCCTCACTATGGGTCCAATTCTGAAAGGTGCTTAGCATCCTGTGCTTCCACTGGCTCTACTAAAACTAGGCATGTTTAAAAAAAAACAACAAAAAAACTTGTGTTGACCTGCAAATATTTCTAGATAGTATCAGATAAGTAATGGCATCCAATGTCAAAGTTAAATATAAATTGTTTATGGTCTTTTATCCAATAAATAAAGTACAATGTATTTTTAAACTATATTCAAGACCCTAACCCTTTTGTTACTTAGACCAAATAAAAGGTAATTCCTTATGCTGTGTCTATATACATTATGGGATTACCATATTTTGCATCTGTATAACAGAAGACCAAGGTTGTCTAATAATATATATTGGTTTGTTTCTAATAGAAACCATAAAGGCAGCTCAAAATAAGAAGCATAAAATGGTTTCTTAGATGCTATCAACTGTTACACTCTGCACTTACGTTCTGTTTTTAAAGTCTTAAGGTACATAGAAACTAACTTCTTTGGAGTTTCTTGTTCCTTTGGTGCATATGCATATCTCTCTCATTAACAATACAATACTAACCTATGTGCCAGACTGTAAATGGGACCAATTCAGATACTAAGAGAGTGACACTCAAGAGTCCCTCTTACCAACATCACATCAGAATTGCTAAAACTCAGTGAAGTGCTACATACATTCTGTATTTCTTTTTAAACCTGGTCTATCAGGATTTAAAAAAGAAGCAAACCCCTGCTTTCAAGAGAAGGTGCAACCTTCCTAGTTGGAATTGCTGCTCTTGCTGGATGAAAACCCAGTTAGTGATATAATATCAGGATGTCATCCTCCCGCTGTACTCAGCCTTGGTAAGGCTGTAGCTGGAGTTCTGCATCCAATTCTGGGCTCCACAATTCAAGAAGGATGTTGAGAAGTTTGAGAGAGTCCAGAGGAGAGCCACGCACATGATCAGAGGACAAGAGAACAGGCCTTATGAAGAGAGGCTGAGAACCATGGGACTCTTCCCCCTAGAAAAGCTCAAGCTCAGGGGTGGCCAGGTGGCAGCCTATAAGTACATAAGAGGTGTGCATCAGGATCTGGTTGAACACCTGTTAACCAGAGTGCCCCAAGGGATGACAAGGTCTAGCAGTCACAAACTCCTCCAAGACCATGTTAGGCTGGACAAAAGGAAAAACTTCTTTACTGTCCGAGCCCCCAAGGCCTGGAATAGACTCCTCCAGAGGTCGGGAAAGCACCTACTCTGGACTCTTTTAAGAAATGTTTAGACACTTATCTTGTTGGGATCCTTTGACCCTAGTTGACTTCCTGCCCCTGGGGCAGGGGGCTGGACTCGGTCACCTTTCGAGGTCCCTTTCAGCCCTAATGTCTATGAAATCTATTAAATCACTAGCACCGTAAGAAGCCATAATGGCACAAATACTAGATTGCAACATCGTTGACAAATTGGCCAGTCACAGTCAAGATTTCTTAAGGTTTCTGTAAATGCTGTAATGTCACAAACTGGATTGCGTCGTCCCTTCATAACTCAGACAGAAGGCAGAGCTGTATTAAGAACAAGAGTTATTTTTTTAATTATTATTTGGAACGGGGTAGTGAGTTAAGGAAATGGTCCTTGTAGTAGGCAAACTGAGTTATGCTCACGCTCTTAGTATAACTTTAGGCCTTCCCAGAACTGGGCAATTAAATTGTACAGAGTGCCTTATAAGGCACTAGGAAAAGTAAGAGCTGCGATTGGTACAGTGGGTTAACCAGGTACAGTACTTTCCTTAAAAGGAAAGGAAACTGAAAACAGAATAGGATTGGAGTACCTTGAGGACTGGACAGTTTGAGATGAGAAAGTTACAAAAGTAGTGGACAAACAAAGAGACAGCGTGCGTTCGTGTTGCCACCCTGGGGCAACCTTGGAATTCTTGCTTTGAAGAATGAGGAATCCAGAAACTAACATCCCGCACGCACAGCAGAGGATCCGAGGCCGGTACCACTGAAGGTTGCTCTTGTAGCATCTGAAGGAACCGCTTGCCATTATGAAGAGAGGAGAAAACTTGTAATAAACTTAGGGGTTACTATTAAAAGTTCACTTGATACCAAATTGGATGAGGGACCATGTCAATTTGAGGGGGTTTCTGGTAAAAGGAATCCTGGGGGCAACAGTCCTGATTCTCCACTGCCTGGTACCTTCTGGAGTGCTTTACACCTGTGCACAGTAGTCAGAACTGTACTGGTCTATGTGCAAGTTGGCTGTTTGGTTCAATTCTTTCCTCATTCAGTCTCTTCATCCAGGACTCACTACGCTCCTGCTCCTTGTACCCTCTTCTCCCCTTCTTCTTCCCCTTACCCCCACCTCCCTCCCTCTAACTTCATATTTCCCCTCTCCTTCCCTTTGGTTTTGTTTAGCTAACCACCTCCTAACTGAACCAAGATAAAAAAAAAGACAAAAGTTTTGAAACTCATCTGCCATCACATTGATCTCTCTAGTATAGACTGTAAGCTATGTCTATTCTTGTTTTACTGAAGCCTGATATTAGAATGGCTCTTCTTATTAGGCAGATTCTTAGGCACTGGTATCAAGCTAGGGAGAAAATGTACAGGGCCAATTCAATTCAGTCAGTCATACTCAATATCGTGATGTATAACCAAGTAGCCAAGCCACTGGCAGAGATGGGCACCATCAGAAGAATCAAAAAGAAGTGGCAGCAGACAAAAAGGAGTTGAAGTCAGATTCTGGGCATGAATTTTGTGAAGAACTGGCAGAGAATCACTTCTCCCCCTAAGCCTGAAATCCTACCAGATACTACCTTACGGGTTGGGGCAGACTAATAATGAACTAGAATAAAGGATGCTCATTATGTTGCTGGCATTGAAGGAGCTCTTTGGCCACACCCAGAAGGGTAAGACAACTGCAGACTCCCACAATCCAGGCTGGAGCAGGTGTGCTGGACAGTAAGGAGGATCAGGGCAAGGATGAGGAGTTATGTAGTGGTTTTATTATATTAGTCATCACGTGGGGATGATATTAGAAACTTAGGGGCAGGGCAGGATTTTGCAGGTTCTTGTAAATGTCCACGTAAGAGCTTTTAAAAGAGCAGCTGATGCCGCATGCAAGGACAGAAACATTTGCCTCTCCCTGCTAATCCTCATATTCCACCGTCTCACCAGGACCACAGTACAAATTACATCAGGCAGATCCCATTTACACACTCACTTTTCAGCTTCCAAGCCTTGGCATCCTTTTCATCACTTTCCTTTTGACTGCATATGTCAATGCTTCCAAGTTCATAGGAGCATTCAGCTCAGTGGCTTCCTGAGCAACTTCACATGGGCAGACTCAAAATGGTGGGAAATGAGGGGCAAAGGGAATGCAGAAAGTAAAGCACAAGCACTGTGCATGAAAGGCTGAAAACAGGATACTCTAAAGCAAGAAATTCTACATTTTGGCACTCTGGCCCAGGCATTTATATTATACTGCATCTGACAACCCACAGCATCTAGAGAGAGAGAGACTCTTACCTTCCTGGAAACACATTTCATGAAGATTCATGACATCATCCTAAAGAAATGTACCCGTGTTTTCGAATGCCTTTGAAGCAGTGTAAATAATCAAGCTGATGGGGCTTAATAGAGAGGGATCAAAAGCTGTGGGAGAAAGACGATTTGAACACAGAGGCTTAAGAGTTGCAGGAACTATGGAGGGACTGATTTGTGCTTCTGGACTCCCCCAAATTTGCCAGATTTTCCAAAACCTCCTATGATTCATTGCTTTGAGGATGTTTGTGCAGGAGACTCTAGATTAGAAACAGTGAAACTATTAACAATGAGCATCCCCTATCTTAAAACCAATAAACCTGAGCCAGCATAGCAACTTTGGTCCCCAATTCAGGTCCCTAGCATAGGAGGCTGAGCAGAAAATCAGATCTCATGACAATGGAGTATGGTACAAATTTTTAAAAGTTCAACTCACAAGCTGTTTTCATTTGGCTTTTGTAACAAATGACTGAATTAGTTTTAAGTATCTAAAGCTGAGGGATAATTAAGGGAAGATAAACCTCAAATCAATAACAATTTCTTGAAGATCACAGAACAACTAGAGGCTCCCTATGCCTGAAGGGTACTTGTGCCTGAAAGCTCGCAAAGAACTTTGTTCCAACTACTCAGTTGGTCTAATAAAATATATCACATCTACCCAAAGAACCTTGCCTGCCCATTAAGAACGACATGTTTCCACTGAAACCTAAAGATTTCTTGTTATTCCCAGCCATACCGTTCAAGAGGCTCAGAAAGGCTAAAGCTTTGTTTATTCATTTGTCTTTTCTTTCTTAGCTAAGTCAACAGAAGAAGGACAAGTTGAGTTTTGTGAAATCTTCTAAGTCACAAGGTGGGGTATTTATATTCTTGGAGATGGAAACACACATTAAAAGACCAACCAAATTCTACATTTGTATCACAGAGGAAGATTACACACTCTTAAAAGAGACTCAAAATGTTATGCAGATCAATATTTATGTTATTTATGTTTATCACCTAAATTAGTAACTTGACATAGTAAAAGGATTTAGAATTGCTGTAAAATAGTCTTAGTCATTAATCCAATTATTGCACATTTTTAATCAATGCACTATAAAATAATTCAACTTTAAAGGAGAGAGGTCAAAACCAGAAATTTGGTGCTTTCATTTTTACCAATATTTTTTAAGTACAGGTTTCCCTCAATTTGTGCAGTAGATGCATTCCCGGAAAACTGCGCATAAATCCAATTTGCATAAAAGGAACCCAGTTTATAATGTAACAAAGAGGGACACTCAGGATATCCAGGCTGGCCTGAGGGCAAAGAAAAAAGCGTACTGGCTGTGGAAGCAAGGGGCAGGGACAAAGGAGGAGTACACCCCCCTCACCCGAGCTTGTAGGGATTTGGTGAGGAAGGCTAAAGCAGCACTGGAGCTTAGATTAGCTTCTGGGATTAAGGATAACAAAAAGTCCTTTTTCAAGTATACAGGTAGCAAGAAGAAGTCTTGGGGTAACATTGGACCCCTACAGGGCAGGGCAGGGCAGGGCAGGGCAGGGCAGGGCAGGGCAGGGCAG